GTTGTTTGTTCACGTATTGTTGTGTACTATTGAAATAATCGTTGTAAGCCATGGATAAATGGGTTGTATCAAAAATAAAGAGGGCCGATAAGATTACAGTATGGTAATCTCAAGTAGGTGCAGGTAGATGTAGTATACGAAGTGCGGAGTGACCATTACCTTGCAGAGTACATTGACCTCAAAATGTCCATCAGATGCCATCATCTTCATGTGTCAACAGTTGTTCGGTTGTTGAAGGAATGTATAGTAAATGAAAGTTCATGAACTTTGTGATGTCGGTCTCTCGCAGACCTCAGTGGTGACAACTCAAGCTCTTTTTGTCCTAAAGCGTTTAAACATCAAATCTCGGCCACAATGCTATTAGCTAGGCATGAAATATTTCGCTATTTATTCTGAAAGCTAAACCTGTGGCTTTCTGGTTATAGCGTCACTTAATCTGCAAATTTCTTGCCTCAGAGGTCTGTGTTATCTGCTAAAATCGATGAAGGATGAGGGATCAGGCCTGATTTGAATCGACTGAAATTCAGCGTTCGGCCGACTGAATCATAATTGCCAGATGAAAGAGACACATTAGCTGAACAGATGGAGTCGATTAATTCATCTTTTAGCTATATGCCACGCTGAATCGATCTGCGGATACTAATAAGCTAATAACTAACTTCAGCTTCGATTTTTGAAACTCAATTCATTTCTGAATGTTTCTTCAATAAAATACCATTCACTAGCTTTATACAGTTGGCAACTATAATGAGGCTACCATCCGTCTGTTATCCTGTGTCTAGAACAAACGGCTAGTTATTAATCTTGCAACTTTAAAGGTTTGAAGCTTTTTAATTTACTACAAATGCAAAGTTGAACAACCAGTGTGTTTAGACAAAATTAGTCATTCATCATTCTAACATTGTGGATCACATATTCCCAGATTGACGTGGTATCACACATCCACTGGAGTTGTCTAACGTTGTTGGCGACAGCACTCAGCTAAGGTTGAGTTAAATGATTGAAGATCAAAGCAAAGAAAAACTAACTTATTTCGAAGATGAACAGAGAAGTTTCCAACTTACATGACCTACCAGTACGGTAATCTGCAAATCTTATTATTCTTTATCTAAAGAAAACATTGTTCATATCTGTTGTACAGCAGATGAATAATAAAGAAACCTGTATTTATTAAACATACAACAGAAACAATAGAAGCAGCCACTGCACACAAACTCTGCCAAATTATGAAAAGCGATGAAATATTACATAATATAACAAGCGGCTAATCAGAAAAAGATGCAGGCCAAGTAATGAGTTTCGAGTTTGATTAAACGTATGATTTCGAGCCTGACCTAAATTCTCTTGCCAATTCATAACGAACATTTCTGGTTCCCCTCTTCAGGCAGAAAACGAAGGCTCCTATGTTGAAGAATCCTTTGCGGAACGGTTCTGATAGGAAACCGTAGAGAATTGGGTTCAAGCAGCTGTTTGCGTACGCCAATGTCTGAGCGAATATCTGAAAGACAATCAGCTCAATGGAAGTCAGGCTGCCTAAGCCGCTCCGGTACGTCATGCCGGCAAGACAGAAGCAAATGTTCAGTGGCAACCAGCAGACGGCGAACGTGACAATCACGGCGGTTACTGTACGGGTCACCTTCTGCTTCATGCGGTTGTCCTTAGAGGCACGGATTGAGCTGTGGCAATTGCGATGTGCTGTCGCTAGACGCCGAATCATCACATAATACAGGAGACAGGTGATAGCGAAGGGCAGAATGTAGCCGAAAACGTTGAACGACAGATAGACCAGACGGACGTTGCTCTGATTAGCTGTTCGGTTCGCGTGGGCCACGTACGTGCAGCTACTGCGACTTTCCATCATGAACTGGTACTCGTAAATTCCGTTGATGCTTAAAATCGGGATGTTCACCAGAACGATGATCGTCCACAAAAGTATGCTGACTATCAGCGTGTTACGGGCGGATCTAGAATTGAAAATTGGCGTAAAAGTTAGTAACATTCATTAGAGCAAAGATTAAATATTTCAACGCCGTTATTAATCTTACCATCTATGATTTTAATCCTTCCACAGAGACATGGAATAACTAATGACGTGTAAATCGAAATTTTTTTTTAATTCGATGCAAGCCGGTGATATCTTGGATTTGCTACAGTATTACTAAGCCTATCCTTGTGCTAAACTCTGCCTCGTCTTCTGTAATTCTAAGGGTACGATTGGTCTACATGTGGTTTTATGTGTAGGAGAAAACAGCAACGGCCGGCCACACATTACCGCTCGCAACTGAGTAATCAAGGTGTTCAACTCAAGCAAATGGTCAAGCTTCTTACAGGATTGAAAATCTTATGAAATCTACTGTGATCTTGGCGCAAGGCGATGGCAATAAAATATTATAATCAACCATGAAACAGAGAGCCATCTGCAATTTCAGAAAGGGGCTAACAATCTTGTCATATTTATGAAAGAATTCTCAGATTTTAATACACAGGTATTGATTAATTTCCCATCGTTTCATCCATCGTCTCTTACGGGATTGCTCAGAATAACAATCAAATCATTGAGGCCCAATTTCTGTTCCATAGAGGGTTGAAGAGAGAACAGTCTTGACAGCGTTTGAAGAATAGCTGACATCCAGATACTCCTCAGGTTCCTTTCATTGTCTTTGTTCAAACATCTGCTTGTCTGGAAGTACAGAACTTCCTTGATTTTTCTAACTCAGAATTTTTTTCACACTGATTGCCCTGCCAATCCATTTCATGCTCTAGGAGTGCCCAGTGTTGAACAGCAGTTCAGTTATTTTCGCATTTTGATTTGACTATTGGGGAATCATTCGTCTACCAGCACAATTTGTGCTGGAAAGAGCTTCAGATTTAGAAAGACCAAGGAACTTCTATACCTCCAAGCAAACGGATGTTTGAAGAGATGCAATACCACAGTCTTGAACACAATCTGGACATCAGATATAAATAATATAACGATATACAGAATAAAACGCATCAGTTCTTAATCAGCAACTTATAGATCAACATTTGGCCTAACAAATTGAATTTTATCAGATCTATTAGTACAGTTGCACTTTGAAAAGAGGCAAATATAACTCTAAAGTCAGTAATTTATGTAATATCATGTACATTTGGAGAAATCCCTGAAAAATTTGAGAACCATAAAATTAATCTTCCATATTAATGAAGAATGTTCCATGTTCAAGTTAATCTTAAATTACTACATAAAAAATGGAACACTTTCAAAAATAATATAACTCCAAATTTCTGCCAATATAAATGAAAATTCTAAAGCAGCATGAAAAAGAGAAAAAAATGCTCAAGGGGAAGGGGGCTTAAAGAAGTGATAATACTTGGTCACTTCAATGTTTGTAGAAGAAAAAACAGAGAACACAGTCCTTGCGATTATTACGGACGTTTTCGGCAAAGGATTGTTTGTTCTGAGGATGGACAATACAGTTTAGTTGTACATCTGTTTGCTTGCTTGCGCTTAGAACGACTGAAGTTACGGTTGATTGAAGTACAGGACAACGAGCCAAACCAAGGTTCAGAAATTTTTAGTCAGTAAATTGAACTTCATTTGGAGAAGCAGTTTCCAAAACGAAGACTTAGGGGCAAAGATTTTATGCAAATTTCTCCTGTTCCTAACGATCAAGCATACAGTAAGTAATTGAACGAATCTTCGGCCTTTTCGAGAATACACACCAGTGTCAGTGGGAATCGTCGTTGAGTCATCGATCATGCCCAGTGGCTAAGGTTGCTAATTGCAAAGCGGATATTGGCAGACCTGGCTCTTCTTTGGTGCTTCGTCATTGCTACTAGCTGCTGAGTTTATGAAAAACCGTTCTTTTGGCTTTCGGCGTTTTTCGACGAACCTTCTTAAATTGCTCACAGAACGAGAAAAACGGCTGGCTGGCGGCGAACGTAACGCAATACAGACTTGTCCTCTGGGAATAACTGCGTTTCGGC